AGAGAGCATTTTCCCATTCTTCTAGCAAACAGGAAAGAGAGAAGGAGCTCAGTACTCAATACTCAATATTCTTTATTTAGCACCAATTGGTGCATTCTCAGCACCGTATGATACATAGCTGAGAGTTTTCCTGTACAGTTACATATTATAGTACATATTATATTACTTATATGATACATATAGTATTGCATATATATTATGATGTTACATGATGTTACATATATATTCGCGTAACATTATATTTATACATATGTACAAATTTACTAAACAGAAATAAGCAGATATATTTATACATTTATACATATTTAAAATAAACAAAATAAAAGTACTTAACTTAATTAAAAACTAACTTAACCTAAATATTACAATCAGTCAGTTGTTTAGCCTGTTATTGAGTCCAGTATAACACTATTGACAACCATCGAAGTTCCTGTTTTCAAGAGATCCTGTTGTACAAAATAATTTAACGAATAGTCAGCCTTGTGCACTTTAGCAGTTCTTGCACTCAGCTGCAGATGAGATGTTACGACACATTATCTTCTAGGAATTTCTAATATTCTGCATCGTATTGACAAACATCCTTTGTCGTTTGAACAGAAATCACTTGCTTCAGCTGTCATTGTCACTTCTAGTTGCTGCCAAGTATCTCCGCTGGTATCCAATAGTATTACAGAAAACGTTTTTGCATATTGTTACTGTGATTTAAATTTTTTACATTTGTCACCGTTCGTATTATTAGCTTTGTTATAAAGTTAAAGTTCTTTATAACTTTGTGTTAATAACTTTATCTCATAGGTGTCTTCGTTTTATTTTAATATGTGTGATGTCATTGTAACCAACTATCAACCACTATCATAGATCCTATTAGACATCTAAAACCATACAGGAAACAAACAAATGCAGAAAACCAAACTATTTATCTAACCAAAATCATTATAAAGATAATAACACAAATTTGTGTTGTTCCGTTCAGAGATATATATTTATGCTTTATTGATTTAAAAATAAGCAAATAGAACAGAAAGTCCAAATTATGTACCGAATTATTCAACAACCTATGTTATGGTATTCATACTGAGGAGGTGTTTGAAAAAGGAATTAATTTAGGAATTTTCTTATTTTGAATTCTACGATTGAAGTTTTTACTTAAGAGTTACAACAAGAACTATCCTAATATTACATGGACAGAACAAACCTAGCTTCAAAACTCGTGCTTTACTACCAACCAGAAATACCAGTGTCAAAATATATAACCAGTCTTATACAATAAAATGTTAAAAGTAAAAGGATTGTTAATCCATAGTAGCAAGATTCGCTATTTTCTTTTCAGGCAAAAACAAAATTGACACCAACGTGACTCCCACAGAAAGCATTCTACAAATTTCGAGTACAGATCCAGCATTGTGGCCAAGAATTTTAGACACGCTGAAAAAGTTTTTAGTAACACAAGTTCCATCTAAACCAGGGGTGAGCAACCTTTTTAATCAACAAGCCAATTTAAATTTTAAAATTTTTTGGCGGGCCGCACATAAAGTAACACTTATTAATAATTTACAAAACTTTATTCACAATAAACATTAGAATAAAACAATATAAAATTTAAAAAAAAGTAAAGATTTCATATACAAATTTTAATGCAAAATAAAAACAAACAANAATTAGTGTAAATTCACATCTTGTGCCAGTGTCGACTTATCAAGTATGGAGATAATGTCAACATTCAATGAATATCATTTATTACATTCAAGTGTAATATTTATAAATTATTAAATAAGTAAATAATAATAGTTTTTAAAAATACCTGAAATTTCATATCAGATGTATGTTTAATAAGGACTTGAAAATACAGAAATATTATTAGTCCATAATTCATAACAAGTCCAAGTTTGCTGCCTGAATCATCTAAAATTGAAATTTTAAAATTGAAAGTTAACTTATAATATTTTAAAGGAAATTTATATATAAACATGAGTAAAACAAAGTATTTATGCATAGGAGGCGATAAAACGAACAGGAACTGGAAGAAAGAAAAAAGATTGACAGATATGAGCATTACAATTATCTTGGTATACAAATTCATGAAAAGGGAAGAGATGCATTAGAAATTAATACAATATTAGAACAAGATAAAAGAGCAGTTAAAAGATTAAATGGAATATGTTGGAGTGAAGAAATAACTAGATCAAGAAAATAGGATATATAATGCTATTCTTAAAAGCATTCTATTATACGGGACAGAAGCATAGAGAATGACTGGGAAAGAGAAAAGTAACAACAATTCCATTTCAAGCGTTGCATTGAGAAGATCGTGCAGAATCTCGAAAAGAGAAAGAATAACTAATGACCTAATGGTATTGAAAGAGACGGTTTTGGAAGCTATACAGAGGAAACAACTTATTTGGTTTGGACATGTAAAAATAATAAGTAATAACAGATTCCTGAAAATGTCAATGAAATACATTTCACAAAAAAAGAAAAAGAGAGGAAGACCCAGGCAAATTTGGTACGACAGAGTAAAGTTAGCATGTAGTGAAAACGGAATTAAAGAAGAATGGTGTATGGATAGAGTAAGATGGAGTAAGATGGAGAGGGTTCGTTCTTGAAGGTCTGAAGGTGACGTCAGACGTCATAAACCGAATATAAATAGAATTATTAAATTCCTGTTAATTTTATTTTAGTCTTCATTGAATACTTAACTGTGACTATACAAGTGATGTGCTTTTGGAAGTATTTATTGTATTTAAATTTACTTTTTTAAATATAATAACAATTTTCTTCACTAACTGCACTTACGAATAAATAACTAAACCTTACAAATCTTTAAATGCAATCTATTTTATTATATTATTTATCATTTTTATTAATTGATGACAGTCAATTAATTGACGTTCATCTATACTAATATTATAAAGAGGTAATGTTTGTATGTAAGTTTGTATGCAGCAGGTAATCTCCGAAACTACTCATCCGATTTCAAAAATTCTTTCACCAATATTAAGAATGGAACTTCAGGGTGGACATAGGCTGTATATTATTCCGTTAAACATTCATATAAATTAAATGATATCATCTATGGTTAAGGCTTTTATGNTTCTTGTATGAAAAATGACATATTTTAATAAAGTTAATTACGAACTCGCGATATATCGAACTGGCAAAAAAGACCGACTGAATCACTCGCTATAACAAAAGTTATATACATAAAATATAATTGCTATATCGAATATTCACTATATCGGGTGTTGGCTATATTTAATTAACCTTACTGTAGAAAAGTTAATTGTTTTAATTTGAATATTTGATGATGAAGGAGCCTTCCGTTTTTTTGTTTGCTTTTCCGACATGCTATTATGGATTAAAAATTTGAAAGTTGAAAAAAATTTGTAGGAAAATTTAATTTTGAATAAAAAAACTCTAATATTACCTTTTTGAAAATAATATTGCACTTACGCCTTTCAAGAAACACAAGAATTGCTAAAATTGCTAGTTAACAGCTTACCGGTCTGACTGATTGTGTGACAGAAGCAAACACAAACAAGCACAGACGTGGCGCGTTCGTATTGCATGTTTGAACAAGTCGCCGACAAGTGAGTAACTCGTCACAAAAAATTGTTTAGGTTTAGTACTACAATTTAGTTTTGTACTACCATTTTATTATAATTAATTTTATAACAATATATTGATGGGAGAAAGTCGATAAAATAAATTCAATTTTAAAAATGCTTGGCGGGCCGCATAAACATGTTTAACGGGCCGCAAGCGGGCCGCGGGCCGCGTGTTGCTCATCCCTGATCTAAACCATTGTATAATTACAAATTTTCTTCCAATGACACTGTCGACCTTTTAGCGTAAATTATTATACACGAATTTTAAGCAATGGAGAGCAAGTTTTACGAGACTCACTAGTGTACTCTCTTTCAGAAAACTGCGTTTACTGCTTCTGTTGCAAAATTTTCGGCTGTATAGTTAGTTCTCTTTCAGAGGAGAGTTTTAAAAGTCGGAAGCACCTCGGCGAAACTTTAAAAGAGCATGAAGTTTCCAACGATCATATTTAGGATAAAAAATCATGGCTAGAAATAAACCTAAGGGTAAAATGTTGTAAAACTATAGATGTGGCCTCTCAAAGAATTATTAATGCCGAAACAAATCATTGGAACGCGGTGTTTCTAAGAATCGTAGCAATTACTAAAATACTTGGTAAAAGTGGTCTGGCTTTTCAAGGTACAAACAACAAGTTTTCTGAGTATAAAAACGGTAGTTTCTTAAAAATAGTTGAGTTGCTATCTCAATTTGATCCCATTATGGAAGAGCACGTCCGTAGAGTGCTAAAAAAGAAGAGACTAAAGCTTACTATCTCCGGAAAAATATACAAAACGACATAATAGATCTGCTGCATCAAAGTGTAAATTCTCATATTATTGATGAAATATAAAAAAATCAAAATATTTTTTTATAATTTTAGACTACTCCTGACATTAGTAAGGTAGAGCAAATGACTCTTCTAATCAGATATGTTTCAATCAATAACTTTGACGCTGATGTTGAAATTAAAATTGATGAAAGCCTTTTAGGCTTCTTACCAGTCGAAAGATCCACAGGAAAACAAATATCTGATATTATAATTGGAGATTTTAATGACTTGGGTTTAAATTTGCAGTATATCGGAGGGCAGAGATACGACAACGGGTCCAATATGAGGGGCGATAAAGCAGGAGTTCAATCTAGAATTAAGCAATATAATTCTCGAGCATTCTATGTTCCGTGTAGTAGCCACTCTCTCAATCTTGTTGTTAATGGTATGGCAAAAGCATCCTTGGAAGCCGCTAATTTCTTCAACACGGTCCAAAAATTATATTTATTTTTTTCGGCATCTACTTTTCGATGGGCAATACTTTTAAAATATGTTCATGGTTTAACGTTGAAACCATTGAGTGACATTAGATGGGAGAGAAGGATAGAGATCTTAAAGCCTTTGAGATTTAATTTCGGAGATGTATACGACGTCTTGCTATGCATTTACGAAAAGCAAGAAATTGAAAATTTAATACGAGATGAGACCTCGGATTTATTAAATTGTATTAAACAATTTAAGTTTTTGTGTTAATTAATTATTTGGCATAAAATACTAAATTCCATTAATCCAATAAGCAAGTTGATGCAAAGAAAAGATTTTGATCTAGCCTTTGCACTTGATCTTTTACAAAACTGCAAAATATTTTTTAAGAATCTTCGATGGGATTCGTCCTTCGATAAAACTATTATTGATGCAAAAGAACTTGTTACCGAAACTAATGTGGAGGCTAATTTTGGATCAACAATAACACGACACCACGTTAGAAGAAGGAAAAGGAACTTCTTATACGAAGCACGAGATGAACCCATCAAAGATCTAGAAGAAAAATATATAATAGATTTTTTTTTTATTTTACAATCGATCAAGCATTGAGAAGATGCTAGATTTGAACAACTTAGTAATCATAATAACTATTTTCAATTCGTATGTAATATATACGATTTAAATATCATGTTCAAAGAAATGCTACTAAAACACTAAGAACTTAGAATGCATTTTAAATGATGGTGATTTTGTTGACATAATTGGGGTAGAATTAGCAGAGGAAATTTCAGCAGTATCTGCGCTTTTGGGCAAAAAAGAAAGCCTAAGCAATGTACTGAGCTTAATTACAGTCAAATTTTGCCCCAAACCTTACTATTGCTTGAAGAATATTGCTAACGATACCATTAACTGTAGCAAATGGCCAAAGAAGTTTCTCTAAGTTAAAATTAATTAAGAACTTTTTACGTTCGACTGCTACACAAGATCGTCTTAATGGTTTGGCCATGTTGGCAATTGAGCATGAAATTGCTGATCAAGTAAATTTAAAAGATGCAATAAAAAAGTTTGCAAAACTGTAAATAAGAAAAAAAGTTTTTTGTGATTTTAACGGAGTTGATGTTACATTGTTTTATTTTCAAAATAATGACAATTTGATTGTTTGTGCAATAATACATTTTTAATCGCATTTCATAATGTAAAAAATTACATAGTTAACAATTTGTGACTAGGTACATTACAGGTATTTCTTAATTAATTTCTACTGTTTTGTACAGCTTGATTATCAATGTTATGTTATATGTTTCTTTGTAAATATATTCTTTTATTAAAATTTAAAAAAATGATTTGATTTTTATTGAAAATAAATAATACGCACCTTTATTTAAATATATATATATATTCTTAACCCATTAATAATACCATGGACCTCCCATAAGTTATAAACTGGCAGCTTTAAGGGCACTTATAAAAAGAGCGTACACACATTGCAGCAAAGTGCAGGACAGACGTAAAGAATTAGAACACATCAAACAGCTAGCTTGGCAAGTCCAAGTCAATAAAGTAAAGGCAATCAATCTATATACAGTAAAACTTGTCTATGGCGACCACCCACGGTTCCTTCAAAAAATGGTCTTTTAGACAGGTTGTCGTCCAATACAGGTGATGCTGTAATACCGTATTTCCGTACGTATTTTGCGCACTTTTTAGCCATTTCTACTAAGAAAAACTCGAGGTGAGCAAACACAAGCGAATTTTTTCAACGATAGGGCTATATTGGTATTGTATTTTATTCTTATAGGATAACTCGATTTACGGGAGTCGTCGTGATTTTATAAGTCAGATTTAATACCAATATTTTAAAGTTTAATACAATAGTCGCATTTTCTCGATTATAATGCACATTTTCTTTTTTCCGACTTAATTAATTCAACTCGTTTGTTTTCGTTCGCTCCTCAGTTACGTGTATTACGTCATCGATATACAAGCGCGTTGTATCTCTACATCACTTTGGTTTTGGTATTCGCTAGTTTAATCTTATTTTAACTTTAAAAATACTGTATTTTTTTAATATTTAATATTTTCTTAAGTACAGTAAGACAAATTATTAAATAATAATAAAACGATTTTATTATTTTTTCTCATTGTACGATTTCGTTACAATCCGCGATTGTCATTGCGGAATCGAAAAAGGAAGGTTGCCTGTAAAACTGAGCCCGTGTGCAATACCGATTATGCCGCCCCTGTTTAACTACGAATACCTACGCTGAGCTTGCCAGAAAGGCTCTTTAGTGTTGTCTCATAACGGTGTGAAAACAAAAAGAAATACTTTACAAAGGAAAACTATTTATTATTACTAAGTTATTTTTGTTTACTTAATTGTAGAGCCATATAAATATTTATCTACAGAAATTGAACTCTTCTTGCCTTTATGTTTGCGAAATCTGCTACCAATTTTCTTGTATCCAAGCTGTCTAAGATTTCGTGTTCGATTGAAACTATAGCTAAATTACTTAGATTTTGCTGGTGCATTGTTAATCTTAAATAGTTTTTTATAATTTTTAACTTTGAAAAAGACCTTTCAACAAATGCAACTGAAACCGGCAATGTAAGTAATATTCTTAGTGTTATTGATGTGTTCAGAAATGTTGAAATTAAGTCATTAGTAAAAAGATATTGTAATAGGGTTTGTGGATCATTAGACTGGTTTTCTGGAAAATGCAACTTTAAAATATTGATTTCATTAAACAAATCAATACCGTCAATGTCTGTTTCACTACCCGAATCGTCTTTAAGCTTCAGATTTAAATCCTAACCAAGTTAAAACATCATTAATTATACTTAGACCCATGTCGAAAGAATTATTAACAAAATAATTACAATTTGATACGCGATAGAACTGTTCGAATGTGTACAAGTACAAATTGAGAAGGAAGCTCTGTGGGGATTCCCTATTTTCGCCAGTCCTGTCAACTTCTGTCATAGAGCACGGTTTGAAAGATTTTCTTCCATAAAATTAATCGATTCTAGACTAATCCGACTCAACATTTCCAAAATACGTATATTTTTTTGGGAATAATCCGTATAAACTACGCTATAAACAAAAAATTGTAGGCTTACCTACCGAGTGTGCACCACCATTGCTAATGCTTGTTTTCGTCGCGGAGCGTCCCTCCGCGACAAAAACAAGCATTAGCATTCATTCATTCATTCATTCATTTATTTTTAACATGTAGTATTTACATATTTCCTGACCCCGCTGAGGCATTATCAGGAGAGAAAAACAAGCATTAGCAATGACGAAAGTTTTCTGATGACTTATTTTTCTGCGAAAACTTCGTTGAACTTCGGAGACATCATTAATATAAATAATTTTTATCGCCGTTGAATAAGAAATGTTTCTTTCACAAGAAATGTATAAAATTACAGTACTGTATTAGACTTACGGTACCTAATTTACATACTGTACAGACGATAGTTAGCGTAAAATCTCCGTAGCGTGGCACCACGCTAGACGGCGGAAATTATATATTTAATTATAACAAAGTTACAATAAGTTAATATATAATTATATATACAGTACCTAATTTATATATAATTAATATATAATTATATGTACAGTACCTAATTTATATATAATTTATATAATACTGTCCAGACGATAGAAATCTCTCCGTAGTTGGCGCTACGGATGGCGGGAAAGTAGTTCGGCTGCCCAATGACGTTTGAGGTAATTATAGAGGGTTTTTACTGTTTTTTACGGATACCGGTCACAATTTTTTCGTAGTTTTATAGGAATCGTAATTATAGGGGGGTCGACTGTAATATAAATAAGAATATAGTAATTGATCGCTGGTCGGATTTTTTTCTCCGTGAGAAGACATTTCTTATGCTATAAGTAGGGTGGGTATTATGACAATGACTTTGAATATTATGTGACCGATCGCTCGATTTACCGCCGCCAGGACAGCGGGCGTGCACCGCACGCGGGCGCACGCCCGCTTACGGCAGGCCTGGAGTTTTGCATTAATGCGTTTATTGTTTTTTGAATATTTTGCATGCGAAAATGACTTGGATATTATTTTCTTTAAACTATCGGGGAAATAAGGTAGGTTGATGAAGAAACTATTTATCGCACATGTAATTTACATGAGCTTCAAAATAAATAAATAGATAAGTAAATAAAAATAAATTTTATCAAACGATGAGATCAGCCGATTAACTGTATCGTGTACAATATTTTATACCCCGAAGGAAAATACTGTATGTCTATGGTAAAATAAATTTCATTTTCCATAGTTAAACTTCGCCGCTAATTGCTGTTGTGATAACTTTAACACGATCTTCTAACGACAGCAGTTTGCATTTCTTTCGTTTATCGGACAATTTCGAACAAACTGAAATGAATTTTTTTTGTTGCTAGACTAATTCATTAACACCTAAACGTAATTTCAAGGATGGAGAAGTGCCCGAGATGGGTTCGAACCAGAGTTTAGACTAATTCATTATATTAGGAGGGGGAAAACGTTGTTGGACAATAGTTTAGACAGATATATTCGCGAAGTGGTCGCTTATTACAGTTGTTGTATGTTGTTTCGGACCAAAAATCGATGCCCGCGGTCGCGTTACACAGGTGGTCGTTTAATACAGGTAACTTATAAGAACACTCTATGGATAAACTATTCGGTACCAGAAAATTTCGCCCGTTTTGACAGGTGCCCGTCGAATGCAGGTGGTCGCCTAAGCAGTTTTTACTATATATAAGAATGAATGTATGTCTGTGTGTCTGCCCTTCATGCATTACCACACCGTTTATTTGGTTGCCGTGCAACTTTGGAAAGTTTAATATACTCCCGCGAAGGTTTCTGGCATAATACGTTTATCCTACGATAGATGGCGCGCGTATTATATGAGCATTTTACTGTATGTTCGATCGATTTCAAATTGTGAAGACCATTTCCCCCCTCCAAAAAATATCTCTATATATGCATTTGTTATTTACGATATTTGTAATAATTTTTGTTTAATTACTTTATTTCAACTTTTTTTTTGCTAATTATGTATTCGCTAGAACTTTGTTAAAACCTTAACTGTACCCCAAACAACAACCGAAATCGTAGAAGGAAATTCGCCTATTTTACGGATCTAGGGATCCCCCTTTTCCAAATTTTGATATCGACTCGAAATAATTTAAAAAGACAAATTACAATAAAACAAAATCCAACTGTCAGAAATTTCACAACATGCCAAGGAAGAGAGGAAGGAGCAATTAAATAATTAAAATTATAAAGGATTAAAATTCTAAATATATAAAAATGAGGAATATCGCACTTCTAACAATCTCTGCGAATATATGAGCTAAATTATAGAATCCGTGCTTCTCGCATGTACAGTACAACTGTATGTGACCTGCTCACGCGTTGGAAAATCTTCTGATTTATTCGTGTACGCACCAGACGGAAAAACAAAAAATATCGTGTATCCACAAACACTCCAATAAATAAATAGAATTGAAACGACACTTTGAAATGTTTTCCCGATGAAAATGAATAATAATAATAAGTTTCAATAAAAATAATAAAATGTAAATTTAATTTTATCATAACGAGTTTGCTTGAATTTCGTTTCTTCTGAGATCGCAGCGATGCGGGACGGGTAAGCTATCTATAGTAAATCAATAAAACAAAAAAGACGATGATGAAAGTAATGAACAGGAAGAGTAAAATAATACACAGTAATAGAATACATGGCAACCTTAAGCAAAACTTACAAAGAAGTAGGAGCAGCTACTAACAAACAGATAGTCTTTAAAAAAATCACAATATATATCAGATACTACGTACAGACAAGGAAGCTACAGAGAAAAACCTTATTATTGGAAATTACAGAATACCCGTACAAGACGGGAGCGGGCAAAAAAACTGTACTAAATCGGAGCAACAAGAAGGTCATTAAAAGAAAGACTAAAAGAACACAAAAGAAACGTACGGAATGAGCAACCAGTTACTGCTTTAGCGACGTATATATAGAAGACACAACAGAAGTTTCAGTGAAATGGGAAAGAGCAGAAATAAAACAAAAGATTCAGGACTGGAGACATCTTGAATATGCAGAAGCATGGCATATTCATAAGAGCAATCCAGAAGAACAAACTATAAACTTTAGAGAATCCTGTAAAGTCTACGCAGCATTAAGAGTAGGTGCATTATAAATATATCAGCAAGGAAAAAAACGGCACGGACAGTTAAAAAATAGGCATTAGTCTGTGCCCGTTATGTCATTACTTGTTTATTTATTTATCATTATTCATTTTTATTTTTACTTGTATTTTTATGTAGGTATTGTTAATGTATGCGTATATTTGTACGTTATCAGTCTGTAGATTTTATTTATCTATTCACAGACTTGCGCAATAGACGTTAAGAAAATTTAAAGTTAAAAACATTCCGTAATCGGTTTCGTTCGTTATAAATCGAAAATTTGTTCGATTCATTTCTGATGAAGGTCAATTAATTGACCGAAAACGTTAGATAATATAATAAAATAGACAGCATTTTAAAGGTTTGTAAGGTTTAGTTTTATAATAAACCTTAGCAAGTATTCACAGATAGTATTCTCTCATCTCTAACTGTAAAAATTAATATATATTTACTTACCCGCATCAGTTGAAACACTGAAAGTTATTACAATAACAATTAAGTGTATAAATCCGATGATGTAGCCATATGTTGAAATCCATCGATTTAAAGACAGGAAAGTAAACCACGTTGCAGTGTGCTTATCTTGGTATTCATTAAATGTGGAAATAAATTTATTTTCAGCTTTAAATGCTCTAATTGTTGTAAGTCCATAAAGAGATGTACTCAGATGAGAGAATACCGGACTTCTCACTGTTAAAGTAAATTTATTTCATATAGGTTAATGATTTCAAAATGCATTTATTTTTTTTCTAACTGTTTACAAGTTACTTAGCGAAAATTGATGAGCCAATAATTACAATAAATATTTTTACACATTATATAATAGAATTGTTAGAGATTTTTAATATTTACTACAACATTACTTATTTTACAGGATATATTTTAACCCATTTTCGTCATATGCTAATTTCATTGTCAGGTTAAGACCGTGAGTGGGATTCTAATGGCGAACGTGAGAACCACAACTTTAAATAGGTGATAGCTAAATAGAATTATTAAATAAAATATAACTTGATTGGTTTTGGGTTGTTCAATGTTTCCTCTTGTTTTCCAATAGCCTGTCATCATTGTATTCATAAATATCACTGGACAACTAGTATTGCCAAAAATGAATTCTATAATTTTATTTTTAACTTGCTTTTGCAACATAGTGGCGCAGTTTCAAAAATCAGATGCTTAATTTCAAAATTACACATCGCTTGAAATATTAAAAAAAAACATCATATTTTCTGGCAAATTGTTTAATACAGTCTGCATATACCATATATATGTAATATATCGTAAGTGATTTCAGTATAGTCATCTTATGTAAGGTAATGTTTCTGTACACAAGCTTTTGAAGGCCAAATTACCAATCGGTGAATAAATGTTTATAAGCAGATAGTTAATCCTGAGTACACGACTAGCCAACGGGATGGCAACATTGAATTTTCTGAGTTATCTTCACATTTCTAATACATAAATAGAAGACAATTTCCAATAGAAAGATTTTCCGGGTTTCATCCCTCCCATTGATTGCTGTAACCAAATAAACCAAACCAAAAGTCGAATCACGTTTTGTCGTCATTAAGCATTATTGTAGGATGTCATAATATGGTCGTTTCGGTTACGTATTTTCGTAGTAACTAAAATAAATTCATTTAATTTTTGTGTTTCATTAGATAATATTAAGCAACAAGTTAAGTCATTGTAAAATTTATTTAGTAGGAGATTCGAATAAACCTGATAGCTGTTTTAATTAATATAAAATTTCTTCATTCTATTCAGTCAAATGCAATAACTTGAGAACACTTACATTTTCCTTCCCAATATTTTATGCTTTCCAACACCCGGCTATGGATTGTCCACAGAAAATAGAATATGATTGATAGTACAGATGTCAATATAAGTAAATAGGGAAGAATGATTGCTTCAACTATAAACACGCCAACAAAAAGAGAGTAATACTGAAAAAATATATATAAAGATCTTATACACTGTAGATAAAAAGTTATAAACATTCGTCTCACATTTAATGTTAATGTAAACTTACTTTAATCAATTGATGAAAAATAAATGGTAACGTATCGTCCATGTTACTAACATCTTTAGAAAACCGATTTAAAACTTTTCCTAGAAAATGTATTAATATAAAATATTAAGTAATTTAACAATGAATGGCCATTGAAACAAACTGGAGTTTTTGTAGACATTAACAAAGAGAACAGAATATAAGTGTTAGTATTATTGTAAAGATAAATTCATTTTACACTGTTATCTTTACTATTTATGCTCTAAGTACTATTTACTATATGCTTTAAATACATCTCAATCAAAAATTGTTTAAATTTCTATATATTATTAACAAAACCGTTTACGAATATAAGTGATATAGTAGATGAGAATTGAATACCAAAAGATTCATACATAAACTCACATTTGACAACACATTAAATTAAGAATTTTTACCATATTACAGTAAAAATAATATTTTGTTAAGTATATTAGAAAGTTTTTAAATTAAAATAAAAGAATTAAGAATATTTCACATACCAACAGGGTTGTTATCCAAAAACGATACTGGTGTTCGAATAATACATTTGAAAAATTTCTTATGGAGCTTAATAGATGCAGTTGTAAACAGTTTATTCAATAATATTGCAGAAACTAGCATGGTGAAAAATACTGCACATATCAAACCAAGATAAACATATATGTGAATTTCTTGATGTTGATGAAAAGTATCACTCATAGTGCTGTTCAAAACATTCGTATTCGATGCAATGTTTTCCATTTTATACTCACTTTGGCTATATAATCTTTTATCTTGCAACCTGAAAATCAAATAACAGATAATAGAAAATTGAAAAATTCCAAAAATTAAAATGTTAACAGACTTAAATGAGAGTAAACTACTTGAACTCAATAAGAAAGATCAGTACTTATTAGTAAATATTAATAGAATTTTCGTCATTATTCGGTAATTGGGTATATTCGCTCAAAAACAATTTGTTATTTAGATAATAGTAAATACCTATATATATTCAATATTTAAATCATATACTTCCTCAAAGCCAAGATTACTCGAATAGTAATTTCATTTTATTGTTTAGAGACAATGATAGAGAGAGAAGGAAGAAAAAGTGAAACAAAAATTTAAAATAGAAATATTATTCAAAACTCTAATTCTGCTGTAATCAAAAAGTATCAGTTATGGTTCAGTTGAACTTCATGCATACAACAGGACGCTGTCATCGTTTTGGTTTATTGTTTATTGTTATTGTTATTGTTTCATCGATATGCAGCAGCAATCTGTATGTCGTTGTCTGGATTCTTTTGCAAGGAAATTTTTTTTGTGTAAAGACTTTTCGCACTGACAATTTTTCGAAATGGTGTGTGTAATTGAGCAAAGAATATACATTATATATTGTGTCCATAACGGAATTATTGCTACAAAATCGTTAAGAATGTAGCCAAAAGCCTCTTGTGAAAATACTTTTTTCAAAATCCGAAATTCTTAAATGGTACAAGCTGTTCGAGGAAGACACAGAACAGATCGAACATGAAGCAGGCTCTGATAGACCATCCACTTTAACTGATAAACAATACGTTGTTGAAATCAGAGATTTGGTACTGAATGATTGTCATTGAAATATTATGAACATTGATGAACATGTTCCAGTATCATTTGGATCTTCTAAAGCAATTTTAAAAGATAATAAGAGCTTGAGGCGCATTGCTTTTCGAATCGTCCTGAAATCGTTGAATTTTTTCCAAAAACAAAAACGTCTTTAATTAAAGTGATTGACAAAAAGGTTTTTTCAAGAGGTGTTAAGAACGATTTTTTCTTAAAACGCATCAATACGCGTGAAGAAATATGCAACTACGCTATTAAATTAACACCGAAACAATTCAACAACGAAGACCGAAAAGACCTCGTCAACACCAGACAAAAATCAAGAACGTGTTCACTGTTTTCATTGATTGTCGTTGTGTTTTGCATACCGAATTCCTTATGACTGCCAGACTGTCAACAAAAATATTACTCGAGCGTATTACACCGTTTGCATGAAGAAGTTTATAGAAAATAACATCAGATGTAACGAGAAAAGTCACGGATTTTACACTACAATAATACACTTTCTCATGATGCTCTTGTTTCTGAATATTTTACAAAAACTTTCACAAATATAGTTTCATAATTTTTGTATTCAGCAAATATGGCACCGTGTTACTTTTCCTGTTTCAGTGACTGAAACTACCGCTTCTTGGTGACCGTTTTGAATTGATTTATGCCATAAAGCAAAATGGCTGCGAACCCTGAAGGCATTTCACAATAATAATTTTAAAGTACGTTTCGGGAATTGGAAAAAACGTTGGCATATATTGCAATAGAAGGGATTACTTTAATGGGCTCAAAATACAATTTTGGTGAACAAATTAAAATATTGCGTTGTATTGAACCATTCCCTATACTGTTTGATAACATGGGAATTTTACAATATTGTCATTTAGATTTTTTCAAAAGAAATATTTCATAAATTATTAACAGGGTGTCAAAAGCTTGAAGAGTAAAATCAAAAATTTGCTCTAATCGAAAAGTTAGTAGGTTCCCCTATACAATACTTATTTATTTGAATTTTGAATATATCTGAATTTTTCTACTTCAATATTTGAATTTGCCATATGCCTTCAAATGTGTATTTTGCAGCAGATCCCGTAACTATCTGAAGTACCTCCTTTACTAGTAATAGTAGCAGAAGAGTGAAAATTTTTAATGAAGGGAACGTCTTCAATGCATGCATAAAAATAAATTTTGCTTCTTGTGATAAATATATTCAACTTTGCTGAAGAAACTGTGAGTTTCCTAGAGAGGCTATTTCGTGATCCTGCCTAAAGCAGAGGGACTCAATGGCAAAATTTAGTTTTACACTTTTCATCATCATATAACTTTTCTTATTCGAATAACAAATGAACAAACTATTAGACTGCACATATTATTTTATGCTTTAAATAATGAATTGTGGTTTCTTCTATTAGAGTGGTATTATTGGAGTAAAATAAATAATCGTAATTTTTCAAAATAATATTTTATATAATCTTCCTTACTAAATACTGTATATTACGCTTTCTCTATCTTACACAAAGCATTTAGAATTTTAAAGTTTTTAATGAATCAGCTGATATTTGATCGATCTTTAGATTTTGAGAAATTTAAGAAAATTTTGTATCTGGCATTTGGCCAAATATTTTTAGGTTTACTTTTGGATTTTTATTTCGATGTTTGGTTACTTAAATAGAATATTTAGAAATAAAATTAATCATAATGACAGTTCCTAAAGTATTGGCCTATTTCAAATATGCAAATATATTTCATATTTTTAATATTTTTTGTTAAATATTTTCTTAAAGGAAACTAGTTTCTACTCAAAACATTCTAATAAAAGCGTACCATTTAATTAGCCAAAGGTCGCTGGCACTTGTAATGGATTGCGATATAATTAGCATAAGTAATGTAATAATCTTAAAGAAGAAACTTGCTCCGGCATTCAAATATACTTTATAAACTGACAATCCTAGTGTTCCACAGGGTTCGTTGTCACGTGGTATTTGATTTTCTTCAGGTTCCTACAAGAAACAATTTGAAAATTACATAAGCTATTTGTAGTCTTATCTATTTCCAAATATTTTAATATGTGTCTATAATATAAATATCCAATATGTAAATTTTTTATTCTAGTTCCTGCACACATTAATAAGTACAGTAGACCCCTATAAAACGGATTCATATAATACGGATTCGTATATAACAGCAAAAAAATTGCGATCGTATTCGTGTAAACACGATAAAAACACTCGTATGATACTGCAAAACGTCATCGCCGACTCGTGTCGCGTCAGGATTCATCGAATCTAGACCAATAGTGGATATTGCACAATCCGGTGAGTTTAAACGAGCAGCGAACCTATTAAAAACCATTTATTATTTAACGGCCATAAAAATTATATTTATGATGAAATTATATGATGTTTCCAAAGTTCAAAAAATTTTTCACAGAAAAATAATTTATCAGGAAACACGTGCCCGCCGTTTGATGCGCCGCTCCAGGAGGAAAACAAGCTTAAGCAATGGCGTTGTCGAACAGTGCACACTCGGTAAGTAATCCTACAATTTTTTTGTTTATAGCATAGTTTATATGGATTATTTCTAAAAAAATTATACGTGTTTTGGAAATGTTAAATCAAATTAGTCTAGAATCGCTTAATTTTATGGAAAAATCCTTTCAAACAGCCGTAGTCCGTAAACTGCATACATGCCGGGCTGTGATTAGCTCATGTATTTAAGAACTCGTACAACATGAATTTCATAAAACACGAAACGTATCTACCGTGTTATAGGGGGATATACTGTAATTAAAATCCATCTGAATACAGTATATGTTACATGTATATGAATAAAATAAAAAGTTAAAAGAATGAATAAGATAAATTTCACAGAAACTGTCAATAATATTTCTTGAATAATAGGACTGTGTCCGTTAACTATTCTCAATATGAGATTATAATCATATTACCATATAACACTGCATAATATTGAAAATATTTGGAATGCCCTTGCTCTAGTCTTCATAAGAAGCTGAGGTGCAAATGTTTACAAAATATTCACAATATTGTTAAGCGACTTAACGAAATTCAAAACGAATACTTACTGCATTAATGCCATCAATATGTTCAATTTCACGATACACATCAACTTGATTACTATTAATTATTTCATCATGATTGAAACGTGCAGTCTCTACTTCTATGGTATCTTCACAGATATCTTGGTGTGATGAGATTTTTCTTACTATTTCTAAATTTCCCATTTGACTGTAATTGCCAAAAAATTCACATTTTCCCTGAAATTTAATAAGATGTAATTATTTCACTTTAAAGTGTTAAAAAAGTTAATTAATCAGAATTTCACCAATAACAGTAGCATGATTTCTATATAGTTTTATATACATAAAATTAAGAAAATCCATATAGGTGTATTATTATATAGTAATTTATTACAGGGATAGTAACATTATATTTTTCAGCAGTTTTTCAGAGGAAACTTTTGTTTAATAATCCTATAATACTTTCTAATTGGATTACGACTAGTTTTATTTAAAAATAGTTTAAATTGCAAGTTTATATTAAATCTTCATAGAGAAAAAGATGCTTCAATTCATACTATCCAGCTTACAAGGTTTAAGAAATATGAAAGTATTCAATTTGGAATTTTCTGAATTTCAGTAAATCTTTCTTAATTNAAAATAATCAGTATTATATTTTTATTTAAAAACTTTAAATTTTGTCATCGTAAAGACCGATTCTTTGACGTGTTTGGTTAAATTTCAAAAATTAACTGACTGATTTCTGTCGTATTTGAGTATATATACACTTTCATTTAAAAATAGGTAAAACCAAAGTACAACCTAGCACGGAGCATATGGATAGCCTGTTACAGCATTGATTCGGCAGCTAAAATTTCGAATATCGGGCTGCTTGTGAAATATCCTGCACTGCTTGAGAAATAGATGAAATTTTCTTAGTAAAATCCACTATGGTAGTATTCCGGAATTTATTTGGTCAAGTGATGAAATAAAGACTAGAATAGGAAATACAATACTTTGCTCAAAAATAAACACATATGCACACGAAATATTGTTTACGTAGATTTTTGCAATAACCTGTTCACTTCACGTTTATGCAATTTTTTCAAATTATTTTAACAGAGTTTCTCCATTCTCTGATTTATCTTCATAGAGGACATTACAGATAACAAACCAAAAACATGTGCAACATGGGCTGATATAGCAATGTTTAAAATATACCTGACGAATTTTGTAAAAATATGAAGGCTATTTTTAAAATAAAATCCGTTTTTTAAAAAGAAGAAAAATACTGTAAATGTAATTAAAAAATGTTTTTGTCTCATATTCTACACACTTTTTTCTACTTTTCTACATAACATCCATTTCTGATCAAAACATTTGTCATACTGCTCAAAATTTTTTTATTTCCGACTTCAAAGAAATCTGCCGCATGCCGCCGGAAGACATTAGGCCACGCCGCTTGTCTTGTATGGCTGTCACTCTCATTCACTAACGGACTTTATTTAAAAAATAGCCCTCGTACATAAACACCAGGAAATACAGCAGTGTTATAATCTAGTAGGTTCCAGAATAAGAATTTGTTACGAGAATACAAGTGAATATTTCATTCCTGACAATGGAATTTTTTAATCAGATATAAATTAATTAATAGAATTCATAAATATAATTATGTGCATAAGGCTGCAAAACATTTCTGTTTTCATTTTGATTGCGGAAAAACAAAAATTCTCAACAACGAAATATCGAGAAATAATTCCACTATTCCTTGACTAACCTAAACTTTGTAACACAAAATTTCTGTGGATTATCATTAGGAACTAAAATTATAAGAAGCCTTTTCAATAAAAGGTCTGGAAGTGAATGAAATTCCATGAATTTAATATACACAACTTCACCTGAGCTGATATTTTAAAGACTAGATCATTGTACAATGCAATTTGTAATGATTGCTGATATATGTATTTTAAAATGTACCGACATCTATATATGAACGCTAACGAATATTATATTATTTTTAAATAAACCAATATGATTAATTAAATAAGTGGATAAAAATTAAAAATAAATAATTACTTTCTGATTGTTATTTAGTTTATTTTACCCTGAANTAAAAGCGTACCATTTAATTAGCCAAAGGTCGCTGGCACTTGTAATGGATTGCGATATAATTAGCATAAGTAATGTAATAATCTTAAAGAAGAAACTTGCTCCGGCATTCAAATATACTTTATAAACTGACAATCCTAGTGTTCCACAGCGTTCGTTGTCACGTGGTATTTGATTTTCTTCAGGTTCCTACAAGAAACAATTTGAAAATTACATAAGCTATTTGTAGTCTTATCTATTTCCAAATATTTTAATATGTGTCTATAATATAAATATCCAATATGTAAATTTTTTATTCTAGTTCCTGCACACATTAATAAGTACAGTAGACCCCTATAAAACGGATTCATATAATACGGATTCGTATATAACAGCAAAAAAATTGCGATCGTATTCGTGTAAACACGATAAAAACACTCGTATGATACTGCAAAACGTCATCGCCGACTCGTGTCGCGTCAGGATTCATCGAATCTAGACCAATAGTGGATATTGCACAATCCGGTGAGTTTAAACGAGCAGCGAACCTATTAAAAACCATTTATTATTTAACGGCCATAAAAATTATATTTATGATGAAATTATATGATGTTTCCAAAGTTCAAAAAATTTTTCACAGAAAAATAATTTATCAGGAAACACGTGCCCGCCGTTTGATGCGCCGCTCCAGGAGGAAAACAAGCTTAAGCAATGGCGTTGTCGAACAGTGCACACTCGGTAAGTAATCCTACAATTTTTTTGTTTATAGCATAGTTTATATGGATTATTTCTAAAAAAATTATACGTGTTTTGGAAATGTTAAATCAAATTAGTCTAGAATCGCTTAATTTTATGGAAAAATCCTTTCAAACAGCCGTAGTCCGTAAACTGCATACATGCCGGGCTGTGATTAGCTCATGTATTTAAGAACTCGTACAACATGAATTTCATAAAACACGAAACGTATCTACCGTGTTATAGGGGGATATACTGTAATTAAAATCCATCTGAATACAGTATATGTTACATGTATATGAATAAAATAAAAAGTTAAAAGAATGAATAAGATAAATTTCACAGAAACTGTCAATAATATTTCTTGAATAATAGGACTGTGTCCGTTAACTATTCTCAATATGAGATTATAATCATATTACCATATAACACTGCATAATATTGAAAATATTTGGAATGCCCTTGCTCTAGTCTTCATAAGAAGCTGAGGTGCAAATGTTTACAAAATATTCACAATATTGTTAAGCGACTTAACGAAATTCAAAACGAATACTTACTGCATTAATGCCATCAATATGTTCAATTTCACGATACACATCAACTTGATTACTATTAATTATTTCATCATGATTGAAACGTGCAGTCTCTACTTCTATGGTATCTTCACAGATATCTTGGTGTGATGAGATTTTTCTTACTATTTCTAAATTTCCCATTTGACTGTAATTGCCAAAAAATTCACATTTTCCCTGAAATTTAATAAGATGTAATTATTTCACTTTAAAGTGTTAAAAAAGTTAATTAATCAGAATTTCACCAATAACAGTAGCATGATTTCTATATAGTTTTATATACATAAAATTAAGAAAATCCATATAGGTGTATTATTATATAGTAATTTATTACAGGGATAGTAACATTATATTTTTCAGCAGTTTTTCAGAGGAAACTTTTGTTTAATAATCCTATAATACTTTCTAATTGGATTACGACTAGTTTTATTTAAAAATAGTTTAAATTGCAAGTTTATATTAAATCTTCATAGAGAAAAAGATGCTTCAATTCATACTATCCAGCTTACAAGGTTTAAGAAATATGAAAGTATTCAATTTGGAATTTTCTGAATTTCAGTAAATCTTTCTTAATTAATCTGGTAATCTACAATCCGGATTGCCCAGACATATGGCACTTTGTGAGAAGTACCGAATATTCCAGATTACATCAATAATTAACCGGCGTGATAAAATTATTCAAATCGTATTTTCTTTCACGTGTGTTTTACAATGCATTTTTGGAAATCAAGATAAAGATGAAGATGCAGCAATTCACGTTGCCATATAGTCAATCCTGATACAATATACAAATGCACTGTATTATTTTCATACTATTTACGGACAATGAGCGAAGACATCGGAAGCATCAAACTACATGCAAAATGCTAATGCAAAATGTTCATGCAAAATGTGAAACATAGTCTGCATGGTTTTATCACATTATGCGCTCACTCACTATTTTGTCGATCGGTATATTTTTCATATATAAAATATTCCTGTTTGAACAATTACCACAAATTTTGAAGTTTATTGTAATATTTCTCGCAATATGTATTTTTGAATCTATGTATCTTATTTTTGAAACTACACAATTATATCACAAAAAAATTAAAAATAAAATTATAAACTTCACTGCTGGCAACTGTAATTGCTGAATGTTGAATTATAAGATAATAGTGTATAAATCTGATAAACAATTAGTGACTTTACCTTTTTTAACACTAATATCTTACTTGAATGGTTTAAAAATTGTATTTGATATGTAACTAGAATGCAAATTTTGTCTTTCAAGTATTCCATTATGCACCTGAAACAGATAAAAGTTAATACAGTTATATTAAAATAAACAGAGTAAAATACTACTCAAGTATTTACTTTTGGAGTATATGTTTTGCTACTGGTACATCAACAGCACTTAGTGGATCATCAAGGAGGAATATATCGGCATCTAGGTATAAGGCTCTGGAAAATATAAAATCTCAAAAATTAAATTACAACGAAAATACAATAATCATTACTCATGCATCAGATCAAACACTGAAGTAATTTTTATACATTTTGGCCATCATGTGTATTTTTATTCTCTTATCTTAATTTTTGCTTTTAATGTACAACCTGGCACTAGAATGTGGTTACTGTATTAATTAAAACTTTTTATGTTAAAACTTTGAAACATGTTGGGTTATACTTTATCTTATACTTAAAAGCATTTTAAGTAATGTTTTGATAAATTATCAGAAACATGTCAAAAAAATTTAAGGCATACCATCATCATTCCTTAATCACTAGTTGATTAACTAATCTGTGAAAAACAATGATATTTGTTTTTAACAGAACAAATGCTTGAACTTTTACATATTAACATTTTTGTTTTTAATAGTCTTACGAGAATTTGCTTAAAATTTTTGGATTGCTTAATCCAGTCTTAATGCAGTTGTTATTCGTGTTTATATTGCTCACGTTTCTGATCGATTTCGGGTATAAAATAATATTATGAAAAATATTATTTACACCTGTTTTACAGGTAAACATACTCTGCTCACTTTGGGTGATTGTGCTTTATTTGTTATATATTTCTATAAATGGGAAACAGAAATTCTAACTGAACACACTTTATGTGTTTCAAAAACCTGTTTATTGCTTGTGTTGGTTTAGAATAAGTTAACGTCTATGTTTTCAGCAAGAGTGAATTTTACCGATATAATTTTTTGAATCTTCGTTTAAACATGGTATCAAAAACCAATATTTAGTGCTGAATCATATGTTGCCAATATGTGACATCAACAGATTTGATTGTTCTATCACTTCAAAGCTAGAGAAAAATGGAAAAAAACTTTTAACCAAATAGCCATACATCTCGTTCGTCTGTACTTATTTAATCTTTGAAATATAAACATTTAACATTGACTTACATCACCTGGTGAAACATAAGAATGTTCTCCTATGTAATTACTTATAGAAATATAAGATTTTATTAAGACTTTTCTCACCTTGCTAAATTAATTCTCGCCTTCTGTCCTCCACTCATAATCACGCCTCTTTCTCCTACAACAGTCAGATCTTTTTTAGGAAATAAGCTTATATCCTAAAATCATTAAAAAGTATACATACATTATAGAAAAAATCATGTGTATTTACAATTATTTAGATGAAATGAGATTTTCAGTGTTATTCAACACAACGAATTTACAGAACTTTAATAATTTTTCAATAAAACATTATAAAACAGATGATTGCAAATTTTATTTATTTTATTAACAAATTAAGTAAATATGTCGTAGAGAATATATTAAATAGATGCTCTTAACACTAGATTAACACTAGAGACTTTTCTGCATAGAATAATAGTTTGTTTCAAACTGAAATCAAATAAAAATTATCTGTGTACTTCATAATACCTGGCATGTTATTAAGTTTCTTACATCATATTTTAAATCACTTATTATTATAAAACCCGTATTCGAAAAGTAATGTCTCATGCTCATAAAAATCGAAGAGAAAATTATTTTTCACTGTTTGCTCCCAAACAATGTCTGTTCGAGTCAGGTGACTTTAATTCCATCATAGTATATGCTTGTAGTTTTTGGTTAACATGGCCGTGTCAATCTTAAATCCTGCCAATTGCGATGGTTTGTTCAGTGATTCGATTTTTTACGTGAAAGGAGAACCTGCCGTTGAGATTCACCGACGACTTGTATCTGTTTATGATATAGACGTTATGAACAGGTAGAACATCACCAAATGGAATCCTACTGCACGATTAAGCCTGTCCGCACAATGCTTACACTACACAAGGTTTCTTGCAAACATCCAAGTGGGAAGTTTTCGAACATCCATAACACGTCCAAGATCTCGCACCATGCGATTTTCAGGTCTAAGAGACATCTCTCTAGAAAAAAGTTTGATTACAAGCATGAGGTTCAACACCCAGTGACGTCATGGTTTCCAAGAGCATGTAGAAGATTTCTGTTATCGGCACAAAAAACTCATTTACAGGTTCGTCAAATGCATTGAGGTCTATAGTAACTACGTTTAAAATAAATATGTTTTAAAGGAATTATAAGTTATTCTAAAGTTATTCAATGCATTATAAATATTTTCTGTATTTGGTATCTATACTTTACGAATATGCCTCGTAGTTAACGGACTGAACAGATTAGTTGACATAAATTTATTAATCTAAATATATAAAATTGCTTGTCCTGACTGACAGAATGACTCATTCACTCATTGATTCATCATCGCCCAGAGCAGACCGCTTAACCTAGAAGTGAAATTCGGTAGACAGTTAGGTTACGACATGGAAACGCACACTAAGAATAGATTTTTCGAAATTCCTCCGCGGGGGGAGAGGGAGAGGATTTAGGCTTAACCGGAAGAACGGCTTCTACTGTACTATTTTAGATGCGATTTTTCGTTTTCAACTAAGTTTAATTTTCATTGAGTACTTAGATGTATTAAATTGATAACATTTCAGACATTGTTATAAATATTTTCATATATTTCGATTTTTTAACTAAATGTTCGAACCGTTTTAAATTCGAATTTGTTATTGCATATTGGTTCGATTATAGAACGATTGTAAACGTTCCAGAAAATTGATGAAATTGAAAATCGTTCGTTTGATTCTCGGTAATTTTCATCATTCTCAGCAGTAGGTATTATATCACAATTACTATGGTTAATGAAATATTGAATATAAATGGGGTTTGCTTGCAAAACCTCCGCGGGCAAAGCCGCGGGTAACAGCTATAACTTATATTTTTTAACATTGTACACAATGTTTCAGAGGTCCTTATCAATTTTTTAACCAACAGTACGATTTGGATGCAGCATCTCGATGGTGAGAAAAAACAAAAAGAATCTAAATACAATTCATTCGACATATTCTTCTTTTACAATGGTCACCTTCCACATGTGGAATTCCCAAAACCAATGACTATTGCTCTATGCTCTATGCTTTTTTCAAAATATTTCTAAATAACATTTTACGCTCCGTTGCAGCATTCAGCCAAAAATTTCACTGATATAAGCGACAAATTTCACAAATTCAGAAAACTTAAACATTTAAGATGAACTATAATTGTGGTTTCAATTATATTTCACTTACTGTAGTAGTATGTATAAAAGTGCAGAATACGAAATCTTAATATATTATTAGTAATATATTGTAATAAGCGATAATACAATATAACGAACACATCGCATATTAGTTGACAAAAATTTACTTTTTTAATGTAAATGAATAATATCATATGAAACATTTTATATACAGGCAAGCCATTATATGCTATTTTTACTGTAGCATTTCTTTGAAAGGAAGTGATAAACAATAGAACTGAAATTTATAAAATNTTATTCATATATTCATTGTCATTCCCGGCGTGCTTTTGTGCATTGTTTTAAATTTCGGCTGAAGAATTTCGGCTGAGGACACACAAATCTGAAATGCATGCAAAGTGAATGTTAATATAAACATAAGGTAAATGAAAGTAAATATGTATGTCTGATATTTATATGCCTTTTTTCTGAAAACATTTCAATTTGATTTGTATTTCAAAAATATCATGTAAAATGTTTAAAATATGGTTATAACCCAAAAATACCATTCAAATTTGAAATAATGGGTTAATTTTCATAACTGTTACAATAAATCATACATCTATGTTAAGCATGGACAGCTGTAGAAGTATGCACAAATTTTCTGTCTATCCCAATTTAACACTTGATTATTAACCATGGCTTCTAAGATGCCAATGTAAATAATCAAGTGTGTTAAATCAACGACAGCTAAAAGAAGGTTGTAGTATAAAACGGGGGTGGCCAACTTTTGAGTATATACGATCTACTTTTTATCTTAAAAATGTGTCGCGATCGACTTGTTGTCGTAGGCATAGTCTAAGTGGCAAGAAGGAGGTGTGAAATTCATACTATGTTTAGATAGGTAAGAAAAGCCACAATTTAATTTAAACCATAAAGAAAAAGTACTTACATTTTAAACAGAAAAAAATTGAAACTCAACGTTGTCACTTTCGGGGACCACCACTTCACCCTTCCTCTCTCTGCCGTGTCCCGACCTACTCTTTCTGTCCCTTTTCCCACCTTTCTTTTTTCAATTTTACGACCCTTTGTCTACATTTCTAATTTCCCTTTTACAACTGTACGCAAATGGATTGCACATGGACCGACAAAACGAGCAAAATTCTTACTGCACGTGATGCTGTTATTAGCATGGAAATGAAAATTTTTAGTGCCAATAAACTTGTGTTCGACTGGAGAGCAAAGTTATTTCTGCTTTCCATTATTTTATCCAGTTCATCTGAAGGAGGACGCGGAAAAACGATATCATTACAGTCGAGTTTGCGCGTTACGTTCATGCGTTGCGTTCGGTTACAAGTGTAACACATTAAGTCAAGATCTCGCGAGTGATCGACTTGTTATAAACCTAAAATAAGAAATTGAGATAAACAAGGAACTTATCGAGAAGCATGACGAAGTTACACATGTGACTAATATGGTAACCACGTTTAACGCTAGGACTCCACTACCGTAAAAACGGAAAACCCCTCGCCGTAAAAGCTTTTAATCACGTGACCTATTTGCGTTTGCGCTCGGATTACGGTGGAGGTCCGGCTAGCGCAGGGGTCGGCAACCTTTTGAGTCGGAAGAGCCAAAATTACAATTTACAAAATTTCAAAGTTTTTAAAGAGCCACAAAATTTTTTCTTGCCAACAATAAATAGTACTCGCATAAATAAAGATTTTTGAAAAAAAACTAATCTATTTATTCAGAATTGTCTTGCGTCGAAAGCGAATTAAACCTCATAGAAACATCTGATGACGGCGTCATTCGAGAGCTTCCGACGGACTGACGACAGTGACGACGCGTGTCACGGGGGAGGGGTGCGGTGAAAAGCGAGTACAAGTGGCTGAAAGATAGAATCAGTGCCTAATCCTCGTTAATCGATTCAGAACAATTTTTAAATGTTTTTTTTTTATAAAATAAATAATATTTGAGTATGGAACTAAAGAGCCGCAGCTTCACATCCAAAGAGCCGCATGTGGCTCGCGAGCCGCAGGTTGCCGACCCCTGGGCTAGCGCGAAGTTTTTACGGCAACGGTGCTGCCCCAAATGTCGAAAGTAAATACTTCTTCGCACGTGAATTCGTAGAAACGAAAGACGGTTCTATACGTGATGTATCGATATAAAGACAATGATTATATTCTACGAGTTTTTTCTGTACTATAATTACAAATATAGTAAAAATAATATCTTTACTTTCATATACTAACTTTTATTATCGTATTATTAAGATAATATACAGCACTTATAAGCTTAGCTTTTTTATTATATACTCCTCTAAATTGAAGGATTTCCTTTGGTATCCATTATTATAATCAGGTTACCTCTTGTCGTAGATACACGAATACTTTCGGATGTTTTCGATAAATCTTTCCGGATCTATTTTAGAGTACCCACGAGGGAACGTACACAGAAGCTCGTTTTCCGCCATTTTAGCTCCGTGTCGCGATGACATAGATTTCACTGACTTCTGATTGGTAGAAGGTACCTCTTTACTGCCGTATTCGCGTCGAAAGTTGAACATAGCTCAACTCGCTTTTACGCTGGTTTTACGGCCTGCTCAAGCGTAAAATATCGGAGTCACGTAATTAAAAGCTTTTACAGCGAGGGGTTTATACTCCGTTTTTACGGTAGTGGAGTCCTAGCCTAAGATGCCAAAGTCGACAGTACACGACCATTAAGTAAAACTTTAATTTCGTAATACTGTATTTACTTATTGTATTTATTATTTTCGTGTTTTAGAGTATTACTATGGAAGTTATTTGTGTTATTTTTTTATTAAATTATACGTGTAACTGCCGTTTTAAGATTAACCAAATCGTTGGAATTTGTAAATAAATTCTTTCAGTTGTCATTACTTCCGCANAATGAATAATATCATATGAAACATTTTATATACAGGCAAGCCATTATATTTTTACTGTAGCATTTCTTTGAAAGGAAGTGATAAACAATAGAACTGAAATTTATAAAATAAAAATTAAATTAATATAGCATACCAAGGTTAATGCATAAATGAAATTGAAATATATGAAGTTAATAAAAATTATTCTATAATTTCTTAACGATTAATAATAATAATTATGCATACATTTCATTACTAATGGAACAATAAGATCATACTATAATTATAAATATGCTTACATATGATGTATAATAATAAATTTTCACCTTTACCTTTTAAATTGACATAAAGTTTTGTTAGTAAGGGAATAAACAATATTCTTACCTTTTCGAGAGCCGTTATATGCAAGATTTTTTTATATTTCTCTTCTTCATATTCCTCTCCGAACAAGATATTTTTTCTGATAGTTTCATTGAATACCCAAGCTTCTTGAGAAGCATAAGATATCTTTCCTTTCCTTGACACTTTACCAGAAGTGATAGGAATTTCTCCCAATATGGACATTAATACGGAAGTCTGATAAAAGTAATAAACCGCTTTATTATTTAGTATAAAATACTTTTAAAATAATTCTATCCACATACATATACATTATCTTTACAACTATTTACATGTCTACAAAAGTAAATAGTCTATTCCAGTTAATTGAATGTAAACAAACCACATGATATAACAAATGTTTTTAACTAGATTGATGACATCTAGAAACTCGAGATGATTATCGATGTAATTAGCCTGAGCAAGCAGTTTGAGTACTAACATGTCTCAAATGATAGAATATCAGTGATTTATTGTTGAGAGGGAAAAATATGATGAAAAGTACAGAGAAAAAAAAGTGCAATAAAGAAATTAGTTTCTTTTATTTTATTTTAGTTTAATTTAAAGTAAACTAAACAAATAAACTAAACTAAAGTAAAAAGTAAAAAATAAAATAATAATACTGTGTAACAAAATCAGTTGGCATTTAACGGAAAAGTTATTAAATGAATTAGATTAACTCGTTAAAACCATCCGCGTATGAGATTTTGTTTCGTCTGAAACATAACGTCGGTGATTCGCTTGACACGGCTAAAAAACATACATTATTTGAAATAGTTACATGAAAGCTGAAAATTTCCGATGGAATGAGAGGAAGGAGTTGAGCGTAATGCGGACTAAACTGACATGTGGACGAAAGGAAATGACAATTGACTTAAATCTGATACACAATCCGAGCATACAGTTAGAGCAGATTAGTAGGTAACGGGGTGCAATGTAATGGGAATGAAAGATGTAAATTTTGTTTCTTTCTCTTTGAAGTAGGAAACGTTTCGATAGTTCAACCGAAATTAATCAAACTCTGTAGCAATATGCAGCAACCAGCTATTTTTATATTACAGAAAACATCACATAAAAATGTGAAAATACCACTTTGTTATTAAGCGTCAAAAATTAAGGG